CAGATGCACGTTGTCTCATTGAATTTGCTACGGCTTATAATACTATAGCATACATTGAAAAGTATGCAAGTCATGGAATTTGATTCGTCGAGACTGAATTTGATTTCAAACATTAAAACATCGTTTCGTTTCACAATGAAAATATTTTCTTTTTTCAGCGGAGCACAAAAGACTGTATTTTTTTTTCTGCGCACAAATTGGGTTTGAAAAATCAAAATCATTTATACGCCTGCATGCCAAATAAAACTTCTCACATGTATTATTGAAAGAATGAAATCACTTAACTGTGATTTAACTTCACAATGTGATAACGAATTTCTAAGATACTAAAAGTTTTCCTTTGACAAGGCAACACATCAGTTCATTTGAAACTACATTCTTTTTGAGCTGATAACTTAATTTTGAAAAATTCAATTGAGAATGTTTCGCTTGTTTGATGAGCGAAGCTTTTGTGCTGTTTTCATATTAAAGGTGAAATAAAGAAAATCCGCCTACACTCAATGTTCCCGGTTTCTTTATATTGACATTTATTTCACTGGCCAAGCAACGGAGTTGAATGCATCTATACACAACAAAGTGAGTCAGTGATGCTCAGAAGACTTTATTGAATTTCATCTCTAATCTCGAGCAGCTCAATTCCCTTTTCGCTATCAACTTTTTCTCGTTTCAAACTTTGCTCTTCGAATTCCTACGCTCAAATAAACTTCCATTTTTTTCGTCGATTATTATGAAACTGTACTATTTACCAAATAAATATATAAAGATTTCTTTTTGTAGCTCAGCTATAAATAGCCACACTTAATTTTACTGATGGAATTTTCTCGCTGCACCGAAATATAAACGATTTTAATCCATTTGATCGAAAAACTTTACTCATCTATGTATCTTCGTTTTTTTTTTTCGTTTTTTTTACAAATGCTAAGACGAGTGTGCTTTATCTGTACAGTAATCGTGTTAACAAACATCACGTGCTTTTGATCGAAACGAAAGCTACCAATTTCCTCGAGCGGTAATGAAATGAGCTCTTGAAATGGCATTTACTGATTGACCTTGTTAGCGGTCTGGGGTCGGCGGAAAATGTGAAACTAGCAACATGAAATGCGCTCGAAATAAAATTGACACATTTTTACGGAGAATAAACGAATTAGTACTTACCTAAATAGACGTACAAATTAACTGAAAATGAACAATCAACAAAATAGTAAACATTCAACACTCAAATAATACTCCTTCACTATTTAAAATGACAACCAAAAGAAGATGGATTGCCAAAACGGTCAATTCATTTGAATTAGATTTCCTACTACGCAACTGCTTTTACAAGCCAATCCAATATATTATTTGGCTAATAAATGTCACAGAATCGATGTAACCAATTTATGTGAATATACATTCAGATTCATACTCTTTATGGAATCAAGCTTTTTGTATATCTACACAAGAAATTCAGGCCCATCGTATGAAATTGTTTCTTTGAACTCGATATGAATTATCGATCAAGAGGCAAATCGCATCCGATTCAAGCACTTCTTTGAACGTGTATTCGATTGAATTTACGGTTATTTATTGACCACGTGCAACCACTTAGAATGATAAATTTCGGAAAATTAGTATGAATAGGTTGTAACACAACCATTTGCCGTTCAATAGTTGGCAATCCAGGTGCACATTTTATTTGAACTTTTAGCCCGAAGATATCTTAGACCACCTGTTTGTCTTTCTAACTCTCGCTCTCTCTATCCGTCTACGAGAAGCTCTCTCCATTTGTTGACTGTGTGTGTTTGGGTTGCGACGTGATTGCCGCGACTTTTAATATTTAATGGTAAAACTTTTTCAATGAAATGCTAACAAATCCGAAAACACAATATAGCGACCATATAAATCACCGAAAAACGAATAAACACCGAAAATTTCGTATTTTATTCGGAAGTTATTCCAATATCATTTACAACACAAATGAAGTAGAAAAATTAATCGTATTTCATTCACCAACGACTTATCATCGATATTCATTCATTCAGCCGTTAAAAGAACATAATGGGCGCATTGAATTCAATGAAAGGCCAACCAAGGCACAAGAATTTTCCATTCATTTTTATTTGATCCTTTCTTACGCTAGTCACTTGTGTGTTAAATGCTACGTGATTTTGTTTTGCTTTCCGTTCAGATACGCTTAAATATTTCGACGTTCAAATATCCATGTTCCGCAACGGATACACTTTCTCATCTAGAAAAATGATTAATAAATCGTTATTCGATGTATTTGCAATGCGTAGAATAAGGATCGAGTACTATCTGTCAAAATATTTCCCCCTATGCCAAGCGAAATTAATTCGATATACGGCGCTGATGTAAATGTCACTCTGTCATTTCACAATAATACTTTTTTGGCTTGACAATATATAAGCTCTTCATTTAAAATGCATACACATTCATAATTATTGAATCGTTGAAAAAAAAACATGTCATAAAATATTTTTCTAACATTTTTCATTAAAAAATTTATTAAAATTTTTTTTTTATAAAAAAATTAATTTGTTTATAAATTACAATAATTTCAACAAAAAATGTTTCATCGATTAAATAAGAATCCAATGTAAATAGTAATGACAATGCGGCACCTACCGTATAAATGCAAAAAGAAACTTAGTTGGTATCCATTGTAGCATTTTTGTCCACCATGACAGCATCTTCGTTTTACTTGACCAATCACAGAGAAGCAAAACGAAGATGCTGTTATGGCGGACCAAAATGTTACAATTCCAAATAAGTTTCCTTTTCTATTTTAACGGTAGGTGTCGCATTGGTATTACTTTTTACATTAGATTCTTGTTCAATCTATGAAAAAAAAAATTGAAATTATTGTTATTTTTAAACAAATAAATTTAAAATAAACGTAAGAAGAATATTTTATGATATGTTTCTTTTTTTTACTCGACCGTTCAAAAATTATGCATGTTGAATGAAGAGCTTATATATTGTCAAGTCAAAAAATGTATCATTGTGGAATGACATAGAGTGACATTTAAATCAGCGCCGCATATCGGATTTATTTCGCTTAGCAAAGGGGGAAACGTCGTACTCGCTCCTTTGATTAACTTTGCTTATTTCATTTGCAACTACGGAATGCCAAAAATATTAGTGATTATGAAAATAAATCGAACGACCCAAAATTCTTGATTTTCCGCAATTCTGCGGTAATTTCGAAATTCATTGCATTTGATCGGGAAATGTATAGTTTTCGGGACGATCAATTATCGTTTAAAAACAATTGAAGCAAAACTGTGCATAAATTAAATAACCTTTTATAAACAATTAATGAATTTTAAAGTCCATTTAAGCGCAAATAATTATCAATTGAGCGTTATTGGTTACCGTGTCAACCAATACACTTGTGCACATCTTAATATATTTGATGATAGCCTTCCGATTATCTCAAGTATTATTTAAATTAGGCCAATCAATCAAAAACACGAAACTCTTGTTTGCTGTATCAAACTAATCACATTTTATCCCAAGGCGTATTTAAATCGACGAAAAGAAATTACGTGATAAATTGGAACGAGCAAAAATAGATTCACGCAAAAAAAAAAATGAAGAAACATTTTATGTTTTAAAAGCATAAAATCGTGATACATAGCGCAGTGAGTTCCTTGCCCATTTGTCATTGGCATACATTTGGTAACACAGATTTATGCGATTTTGATTCAATGAATTTCCATTCATTCTTCTTATCGATTCAATCGCATAGTTCTTAATGGATTTTGTCGAGATATTATTGTATCACTGCGGATTTGGAAATGGTTTGCGAATGTTGAATATCAATATTCTTTTATCCGGTAGAGAAAAAAATGTGTGTTAATATGTATGACGTATGATGAGAAAATGTGGTATGTGATGGAAGACAGTCATGAATTCTTCGTTAAATCAGAAGAAAATACAGATAAAATCCCGAGACCAAATGCCATAATATCGATATGTAGCGTCGTCACGTAAATGTAATCCAAATTGAATAATGATACTTTCACATATCACATCGATCAGAAATAATGGTGATTGTTTTCTTGGATCGTTTGTTAAAGCCACGCAAAGCTTCTGTCACGGATGATGCGATAAGCTCTACATTTCAAAAAAGAAAACAATCTGAATGGCATGTGGACCGTGCTTTTTTAGGTTTTAAAATTTTTAACATCGCATAAAATCCTTCGATGATCAATAAATCGCATTTTGATTACATTAAATTCGAATCAATTAATTTATTAGCAAAAAAAAAACGTTCACCAAATCCAAGCGATTACATTCAACAAATTTTTCGGCAATAACAATAATGTTTGTTGTTATAGTTGGTGCATAGAAATGTTGGTGCCATCATCAAAATAAGCAGTTTTCGAACCAAAGCACACTCAATACGTGTAGGTAGTTTTATGGCCGCTTTGCGAAAACGAGAGAAAAACGAACACATTTCGCCGCATTATGATTGCTCACATTTGACGCCAACCACTTTATTTGATTACCGCTTATCCACTACGTCAATGTTTTTCGCACCATCGCAATGCCATGTGTGATGATTATATATGAATTTGAACGATTTCAAATGTGTGTACCACACTGTGTTAGTAATACTTTCGATAATTTGGTATCAATATTATTATTATTTTTGTCACGTCAACAAGTAAATATGATTAACATTTCTGTGTGCGGTTCTGTTTTTTTTTGGTGTAAAATTTTCTCGTATAGATGAAAAATGTTCGAACATATACCCATAAAAGCGGAACGGATGTGTCGTGTCTTGATGAACTGATATGTCATATGTCTTTTGAGCATAAGTAAACACAGAAACCGCTTTAATAATGGCAAATTCATTACTCACCTAAACATTCTACCGCACTGGCATGCGTGGGTGCTGACCAAGAGAATTATTATGTTGTTCGAGATATTCATCTCACTCCATTGCACTTCTGTCCTTCAATTCCAAACGAAATAAATGAAACAACGAATAATTTAACATTTTGGGAAAAAAATCAAAACATTTATTTACGACTTTCTTCAATTTAATTCCATCGTTCTCGTCTCTCTCACATTCAATCGCATAAAATATCATTCGTCGCCTTTAAAACCCTATAAAAACTACCGCCCTACGACAAGACGTCTATATATATTTATTTAAAATTGTATTTACAAAAGTGTAGTTCCTAATATGAGCCCTAAACATCTAAAAAAATTTACACTTATATTTTTTTTCGGTGACATTTATTGAAATTGTTGTTCTTGCTGAGAATAGGTGCATCATTAGAGATTTTATAATAGTTGAAGCCGGATCCTCGTTTAAAATTGTCAGAATTGTAGTAAAATGTTGTTCTTGTTACACCCACATATTTATTTTTATTTTCTTTAAATTATTATTATTTGATACAAAGCATAAATGCTTGAAGATTATTGTGCGCGCACCCTGATTGGGATTGGCCGTCAATTTTACAATTCGGATTTCTTTCAGGTGTGTAACATTCGATTGATTCATCTCAAATTGGCAATATTCTCCAAATTTCAATTGAAAAAGGAAAAAAAAAATATCGCTGTCCAAAATCAATCATAAATGATCTACAGTATAAAATAAATGATAAGAGATAAAAATTAAGTCGTCTTGGTTTTCACCCTTATTTTTTTAGTTTGTTTGTTGAAATCAATTTATTCGCAGAAATTAATTGTCTAAAATTCTATATGTTCGTTAACAGCATTTTGGCTGAGCCTTTCCATTCTTTGTTTTCTTTCCCCTCAAATTAATTCTTGTTTTATCCATTGAACACCACAATTTCCACTTATTGATAGACATTTATACATTCAAACATTTATATTTATGTAATATTTGTGGTTTTGGATTTGTGTAATTGGAAACATTTTGGTTGCATTTTATTTCACGACAATTGTTTAACATTTATGATAAATATACTATGTAATTGTTGGTTATTTTGTATTTGTGTTTTTTTTTGGTTGAGATTTTAATCATTACATAACACTGAGTATGTTTAATTAGAGCATGTAGATATCAATGTTCATAGAGATGACAGTGTTTAAGTTCATATTTCTTTTATTTAAATGTATTGTTCGGTTCATTATTTTTTGTTCGTTCCAACAGCTGTACTTAATTTTAAAAATAAAACAAATTATGGGACTTTTTCATTCATTTTCCACTTTTATAATTTCAAAAAATAAATTACTCTCGGTTAAAAAATAAATTCAGATCTGTCGTCAGTTTTGTGTGGCTTTTTCATCTTAAAACTAACAGTAACTATGTAAGTCCGTTCGAATCATATTTAAAACAATATTAATTTTGTCATTGTTAAAAATTATGTTTATGCTTTTTTGGTTAAACATCTATCTAAAGCCTTACGAGAGCAGTATACACATGGTAATATTTGGTGTGTGTGTGTTCACATTTAAAAAAGAACTATTACAGAGTGTTTAAAATGTGTTGTCCATAATATTTAATTGATAGAATGAATTTCGACCATGCAACAAAATTGTGAACATAGTTTTGTTTTTCGATTTGAATTGCATTGAAGCAGTTCAGTTTACGTGAAATGGATGAAACGCTTATTTAACAAATTGTTTATTTATATGAGATGCGATTTTATTTATATCTGTATATTTGTGTCGATGAAGTAGAAAGAAAACAACAACAATTACACCATCACTTTTTGATTCTATTTATTTCCATCTATTTTTTGGTCATTATTATTATTATATCTTTTTATTAGTTAATTGTTCAATTTGGCCTCAATAATATACATAAATATTTATCGAAATGCTAAAATCGATTTGCATGCCCGTTTACCCCTTTGAGCTAAATGTGGGAATGCGTATTTTTCATTTAAGTTTGTGTTATTTATGATTTTTGTGAAATTGACTGTAGTTTTATTTCAAAATGTTTATTGGAATTTATTGGCAAATCATCTTCGGTTGAAACCGTGTGGTATTTTCAGTGCGTTAAAGTTTGTTGAGTTTGGTGGTCGATGATTTGCTACTGACCGTCTGCTATCTTTGCGGTCGCCACTTTGTTTCACCATACTGGCACAAAAGAACCTTTTTGAATGCTTGACGAAATACTTTGTTGAAAATCGTATAAAATATCGGATTGACCATTGAACTGGCGTATCCAAGCCATGTGACCACATCGAATACCCAATGGCTTATCTGTTGTTCACAATCACCACAAACCGTTGGTAACAAATTCAATACGAAAAACGGTGCCCATAAAATGACAAACGTAAAAAAAACGACACCAAGCACTTTGGTCGCTTTCTGTTCAAGACGAATGATACGACCATGACGCGATGAATTTCGCGATATCACGCTTGAATTTCGTGAATGATGCGATCGAACGGTTCCGACCCGATTGATTAGACATGGCGTTGATTTGTTCGAGCTTGATTTGTTATTGACATTCAACATATTATCCATGTTCGTTCGATTCAAACCAGTTACCGTGCCACTACTGCCGCTCAGCCCATTCAAAATGTTATTTTGATTACGAAGTGTTGCCGAACGTCTAAGTGCCGATGTTATTGTCGGCACCGGTTTTGATGCAATCAATGTGGTTTGATGGCCACCAAAATTTGAGCCATGTTTCGATTTTTGGCTCTTTCGAGATATGTCCCATGTTACAACTGTATTCGATTTGTGCGGTGTCGTTGAAAAGCTAAGCTTACGAATGGGAACGGGTGTTGGTGATGTGGCTGGTGTGGGTGTTGTTGAATTACTCATCAAATGATTATGGCCGGGCGCTGTTAATAAATGTAATGTCGGCGCTGAACTGCCCATTACGGTAAAATTTCGACGTGATCCTTTATTCGATGCAATCGCAATTGGATTGTTGTGTGTTATAAGCGGTGACAGTTCTTCGGCATTCAATTCCGATACAATTTTAACTTCAGCTTTTCGCTGTGCATTCGATTTGGCCGATCCAAAGTATGGGCATGTGCATGGTGGTGGTAAACTTATTTCATTCAAATTTGTACCATGTGTTTCATTCGGTTGCTTTTCATGCACACATAATTGACTTTTCAATTTTTCAGTTGAATTTTGGCAATTTTTTCGATTTTTTCGGCTATCTGCCTCTTCCGTTTCACCGTCATCGTCACTCTGATTAAATATACGATCGCTGTGATGTCGATGCACCGATGATTCAATATCACTTTCCGTATTTGATTGTTCATCAAATCCAATTTCATCCTGTTCGATGCGTGGCAAACTATTGCATCGTTTGCGAAAATTCAATTCCGAACTCTGTGACTCCCTTCGAATCAGTCCACTCGACGACCATGTTGAATGGGAAGCTCGACGTTTACTTCGGTTGCGACGTGCCGGCGATATAGGCCTGTAAAATGAAATTGAAATTAGTTAGTTACATGAAAACTGAAACTTTAACATCCGCTTCAAATACAATTTTCTCATTAAATTCTCCTCATTCATTGAATTATGCCGATGAATCGTTGAATGTTTACTCATTTCATTAGATGATTTTCGCAAAATCAAATTAAAAAACTTTTCGCCTATCTGTTTCATTTCCTTTCATAATTTCATCGAAGTTTTTCCTTATCACATCCGCATTTCAATGGATATGCCTGGCCAAAGTTCAGAGCATAACTTTTGCTCGAGAGAAAAAAAAAAATATTTTTTTATTTCGTAATACGTGTTGGGTCTTTGTTCTTTGAATCGTTCATCAATTCATTTTGTATGAAAAGTTTCCTTGGTCATTTACATGTATCAACATGAATTGAGCGACCGCAAACCAGAAAACCGAAATACTTTGACACAATTGACATTAGTTCGGTTCACCGCGGTAATAAAATTTCAGTTTCGAGGATATAGAGCGCATAGTCATGTAATATACTGTATGTATCATGCCTTCACAAGCATCGAACTGCAAACTTCAAATAATACGACCAGCTCTAAATTCATGTACATCGCGCGTGCCACTTCTATAGCTACCATCATTCCCAATTATTATTCATATTCGATGCTCTCTATTTTGACTGGAGGGCGAAACAAACTGAATTGGTTGATGTTTGTTGTGCGCTGTCTATCTCATGTACTCTCTAGATTTTGCGTTCTGCAAATCGATTGCCTTTTCAACGCTAACAAGCAAATGTCGAGACTCTTAACGTTTACAAAATTGTATATAATTTCCAACGACGACGGCTTTCATTGAGTAAAACTTTGCTTCCCCTCTCTCTAAACATAGAAAAAAGGACATAGAATGGTGCCCACAGAGATGATATTTCAAGCTAAACATTTTACTTTTGGCATCAAGGGCCCGAAACTGCTTCAAGTTGCAAATGCTCAATCATCAAGTGCTTTCGTGCCGAAAATGTATGAATGATTTTTTGATTATGCGGCCTCAATTTTTTGGCAAGTTGATTAAACATGAATTTCCATAGCGCACGACGAGTATGTCTGTATTATTGGAATCAACAAATGGGCAAAACATATTCATTTTGAATTTCGGGCAGATAAGAATGGATGAAGCGCGCAAACAAGCCAGGCGGCACCGCAAACGTATTCATGTTGAGTGCTTACAAATTGGAATTGTTGCTTCTATTGCTCTCACCATAATTGGATATTGCAATTTCATCGTGCTGTCAATGGGACGACATTGATTGCCATTATGTTTTAAGTTAGCATGTTTTTATCGCTTTCCATTTTAATTCTATTCAAAGTTCTATTCTCAATCACACACATACACCCACTCTCTTTTTCTCTTTCTTCATTTCTCTTTATCTCACATTTTCGATTCAAGTCATATTGTACTATGGAGTTGTTCAACTATACAAACGCCGTAATAAAAATGTATGTCTTTCTCTCTGTATATATGCTGAGATTATTTCTTTTCAGATATGCAAAATCGTCTGCTGTGAAATAAACTAAATAACGAGCACAATATGAGCTCTGATTTGAATAAATGTACCGAATCGATGGTGAGAAATCGATAAGCAATGGCAAAAATTCAAGTAAATGACTTCAATTCGACGACAGACAACACTTCGCAAGATAATATCGCATGAAGTAAATCGACACGATCCAAACATATCGACGTGGTATTTTCTGTGAATGGCATTCTCGTTTCCGTTTTGTATATGCGTAAAAACATTTAACATAAAATTATCCACAATTTCAAACGAGTGTTAAACTTTAATGCCTTCTATTTGTTGTGAACTTTATCGACTCTATCATATCAGTTACAGTTTAGAATAAATGTGGCAAATGCACTGCACAAACTTAATACGAATTTTGTGTGTGCAGATGACAATTTTTTTTTGGTTTGTTTACATTCACAAAATTGCATTTACGGAAAATTATCACAGAGTTTGTGTAATAATGTTGAACATTTATTTTAGTATAATAAAAAAAGAGAGGAGATATTCACACATTCAAGAGAAATTCACACACCAATTTGCTGTTAGTTCAATGAGTGGGTGGACGTGTATGTTCTGAGAGAAAATATGCAAACGAAATTTCAATCAAATATTTGGTTTATGGTTGTGCACATAATTTAATATATGGACGATTCCGGCAACATAGTTTTGTGTATCACACAAAAACACATTTACCATAGCAATTTGCTGGAATGATGCAACACCATCTAAAATTCACATGCACATAACATTCATTCAAGTGTCGGATAATTTTTAGATGGTTTCTCATTGCTTTTAGTGCAGTAAATAATGACACAGTTCAATTAGTTCACTGGCCATTTCATTTGCAACACGACAATAAAATATTTCGAAAAGTTGCGGTTGCTCACACAAGCCAACCGAAATCAAAACCAAATAAATTATTATTATTTTATTTTATGTGTGCATGTGTACACCGCTGTATGTAAATGTGCCAGTCGATGTGCATGTGCCGATTTTATGAGCAACGAACCTGAATGAGTAATTCACTTTTGTTTGCATTTGAATGTGAATCGATTTGAAATGGTTGATGTGGTTACACACATACACACACCCACAAACGGCACAAAAATGTCCATTTCTCGAATTCATTCGAAACATATTTTCCATGTGATTCTAATTATTCGATGAATGTTGGCTGGCTAATGGTGTTCGCACAAAATATGCTGGGATCAACAAAATAATAAATTTCGAATGGAATCTGAAATTTGTGGATTCCACTCGGTGTATTTAGCATTATTGCTTTCATAATTTCAACCTGTGTGTATATGCGGCAAAGGTCAACACATGCTATGCTATGCTAGTGGTTTTCAAAGGAATCTAATAATTTTAGTGTATCATTTTTTGGGTCACACATTCGTGCTGCATTATTAGAATGGTACAAAATGCGACGAACACTAATGGCATGCAATATATGTCCCTTTCTTTGAAAATATGGATAAACAATTTTTTCGCTTTGCTTTTTGAACCTTTTTTCGCTTGCAGAAAATGTTAATAAAAACATAAAATCCGACAGTGTATTGCTTTAACTGTCATGCAAATGATCATGTAGATTGGTCATTTTCGTACGTGCCAGCATCAATTACGGACACATTAGTTTCATTCAGAGTTTTCACGTTCCCAAAATTCGATCTGTGTTATGTAAACTGAATTCAAAATGTATGTGTGATTTGCTTCATTTTTGGAAGGGGAAAAAGCTTGCTTTCATTCTCTCCAATTAATCCCACAAAATATTAAATGGAATATAAACAAAGAGCTTATATTGGTCATTGAATGACCGAATCTAATGGAAATAGCACAGATTTTTTCTATCTTTTTGCCAATACAAACAAACACAACAAAATAAACACTGAATTTTGCTCTCATTAAAAAAAATTAATTAAACTCCAACACTTATGTTCAGCATATAATTTTAAAACAGAAAAAAAAATATTCACCTAAAAGCATTTGCATATAAAATCAGATTCTCTGACATTCAACAGGTGTTTTTTACGGGTTTAAAATGTTTTCATGACTTTGGTACACTCATTTGTTTGTTTATGTGTTGTGACGTTATTTTACAATGTTTTTGGTGCGTACAAACATTTCGCCCCATTAAAACGGTAAAAAATTGTACAAAGTGAAATGGGGGTGCCATTAATATATGTATCATCAACCTACACATTTAATAATGATCATCATCAACAATTTGCGTGGGATTGTCACCATTAATCCGAAATGGATCATTGATGAATTTTGTAATCAATATGAATCGCTTTTTAACCGAATCATAATCGAAACAAAAATGTGTGTTTTAATCAACTCCGAACGGTTTTGAGTTGAATTAAGTGAATATTTACAATAAGTGCCCACAGATGGTGGCCATAAATGAAAACACACCGCTGTAATATAATGCGAAAAACCATAAACAAATGAGAGGCCATAGCTCTGGGATATTGAACACCACCGCACACATTTTCGTATTGAATTTTTGGAATCGGATATTATGTTTGATACGTTCAAAGTGGATGCCCAACATGCCGTATCGGTTTTGTTGCCCGAATAATACGACAGCAATCGACTGACGTTGACACACAATTTTCACCCGATTCCAATTAATGTAGCGCGCCTAGCTTGAATTCGTACTCATTTTGATGTTCAATTAACAATTTTGCAACGCAATTTCTCGGCTACCGTAATGTTTGTCAATGTTTTTCAACTGGATATAGGAATTTTGTGCTTAGTTTATTTTGGATGGAATTGAGTGCGATGCAATTAATTAAGCTGAAAACCTAAAAGCAGGATGTAAGCTGAATCAGCAACGGAAAGGCTCTATCAAAATATTTATGCAGCGGCTGATGAAGACGATAAAGAGAATGCTTTATCTTAATCAAATTAAAATCAATTAATTGCGTTTTGTTCGCACCCAGTCTTGACATCATCACACGCTCTCTTCAACTCACTTCAATTATCATGCCAAATAATTGCGGCCGGTCGCTTTTGTATGGCAAAAGTTATGTTTATATTTTGGTGCCTGCAATTTTTTGTTGCTCTTAATTTGCAATAATTGTTTGTGTGTGCGAGCACCAAATGAAGTACAGGCTGATCACATAAACATGATACATTTCCAACCAATGTACACAGAAATTAAATTTAAATAACACACACTCTTGCTCTTTCTCTCTCTCTCTCTCTCACTGACTCATGCACACACACACACTTACCCTTTCTTTGTGTGTTTCGTGAATGAGTATGCGAATGGCACGACGACAGTCATTTCTCATTTTAGCTTGTCAGGCCACAGCACAACAATATGGCATTCTTCCCACACTATTCCATTTGCACAATTTGTTTACCAAAATACAAATACACACATACGTGTGTACAAATGCGCGCCCCAAAATAAAACGCGTTGAATATTTATTTAGTTAATTAATCTGGTATG